ATTACACTGAAAGGGTTCACAATGTGACAATGGAAAAGCCTGGTGTCAGCCAATGGAACCCAGCACCGAACGGGGAGCTCTCGCGTCCAACTTCGGCCAGGGGTGTGATAAAGTGAATTAAAATCCCTGTGTCATTCATTGGAACCCATGAGTGGTGAGAAAACCTTTGGTGTCATTGAAGGCTCTGTGTTAGGTGGCCTCCTACGTGAGGGATCAGAGCATTGTGTGATGCATACCTGTGAGGACCTCCCGATCATTCAAGGGGTTCCGGTCACGGTTTTACCAGAAAAGTGGTCGCCATGTACCCCGAAATGGGATGGAAAGGCCCTCCTTCCACCGACCAGGAAAGGAAAGGAGCCCCCCCCCCCTTGTGTCTTACCAGCGGGGCTCCTTGACCGCGAAAGGTAAGGAGTCCCCTGATGTTTATTCCATGTGCCCCTCAATGTATCGGGTCTTAAAAGCTGTATGAAACTACGCAGCCTTTTCTTTAGATTTCCAATCCCCTCTTTTTATTTTTCAAAGCAGTTCTCCTAACTTACCCCAGCTCCTGGCACCAGCCTCAGAGCGGAAGCGATAAGCTAGGTATCATCGGCATAGGCCTGAAGAGGATAGGACCGACCAGGAATCCCTTAGAGATGCCGTGAGTCAGGGAAAGAGAGAGAAACTCCCTTTTCACTACCTGCCGCCCGCCAGCAAGGCAGCTCTTGAAACAACTCGGCTCAACATCATGCTGTTGAGGCTTTGTCAGTAGGACGTCATGGTCGACACCATCGAAGGCACGGCTGAGACCAATCGAAGTGACAGTGACGGTGTGACCAACGTCCATCTGACGTACCACCGATACAACGGCGTCGACAAGGGCGTCCTCCGCCGAGTAACATGGTCTGTATGCATATTGTGATGGAACTAGAAGAGTATGGGCATGGCCTGCGAGGTGAGACGACACCTGCATGCGCTGGCAGTGCGATAAGAGCCAAATTTGGGAAATGGAATAAAGAATCAAATCTTCCAGAAGGAAGGGAAAATACACGCAGCAAAAGATGAGATGTTGTCGTTGTAGATGACGATGAAGACGGTGGTGAGATTAGACGATGAGGCCCGAGAACATAGAACATTTGCGCCACGCATGCAGTGGCATACAGTCAGGTCCCACAGCCCCCGAAGATGACAACCGCTCATAGCCCCCGGTGGGATAGACAAGATCGGTAGGGGGCAACATTAGATTGGTGGTAGTCGCAGCACGGCGGCACAGGTGGAAGAGGAGTGGCCCACACTCCCGAGACAGGACGCCACCAATTTGGCAGCGATGACTTTGAGTAATGCCCACTTCCACGATGCCCCTTTCATTGTAATTAATTTCGTTTTTGCGAGAAAAAAAGTCGAATTAACGAAACCTTATAACAAAATGCGTCCTGATGAAAGCGCTGCTTTGAGAACCGAAGGGGTATATTATCCTTTTATGTTCTCAACCATTGGAGGGTCCCATCTCTAAGTCATTGAAATAACACACAAGAAAAATGTCACCCAAACAACCTAATAACCACCAGCGGTTCTCCAAGACCGGTACTGGGCCATGGATCTCTGCATCGCTTTTGAGGCGATGTGCAGAGCGGCCGAACGGTCGTCGCAGGGCGGTCATTGCAGTCGCTGCTCTTTTGTCTTTGGTTTCTGGACGCAATCATCCCTGCGACCGCGCCCCGATTAGATGGCAATCAACCGAGCACCCGGCCCAACGCGAAGGCCGGAAACTGTCCGCCCGGCACGTCACCGGGGCGCCGGCCAGCCATCTCCCGACACGTCACCGGGGCGCCGGCCGGCCATCTCCCGACACGTCACCGGGGCGCCGGCCCTCCATCTCCCGGCACGTCACCGGGGCGCCGGCCAGCCATCTCCCGACGCGTCACCGGGGCGCCGGCCGGCCATCTCCCGACACGTCACCGGGGCGCCGGCCAGTCATTTCCCGACACGTCACCGGGGCGCCGGCCGGCCATCTCCCGACACGTCACCAGGGCGCCGACCCTCCATCTCTGGACAAGTCGCCGGGGCCCCAGCCCGCCAGACACGTCGCCGAGACGCCGACTGGCCATCTCCCGACATGTCATAGAGGCGTCAGCCGACCATCTCCCCACACGTCATCGGAGCGCCGACTGGCGATCTCCCGACGCTTCAACGTGGCTTGGTACGACCCGCTGCCAAGCAGGCATATCTGCACCGAGCCAGTTGAGACCACAGTGAGAGCATGAGGAGGGGAGAGGGTCGACGTAAATGGCTTATCGAATACCGGCAGACAAAGCGCTCTGGCAGTACCCGAAGCAAGGCGTGGATGACAACTGCCAGGAGGAGCTCAGGCCCGTTGCCCGGGTAAAGGGAAGTCCTGGAAGGCCTCTTCAGGGAATCGCCTGGGACTCTGATCCGCTCTCAGGTCTGGATCTAATGCATTTTACGACAGACTGTCCGGTATCTGACACCCTCTTCTCTCAGGTCAAGACGAAAAGTGCGGCATGGGATATTCGTTTGAGAAGAATCTGTTTACGAAAACGTTAGCAATCAGATGAACCACCTATGTGTCATGGCCTCAAAAGATAAATCTTGCCTTCCAGCACAGTATTTTTCACATAAAAAACATGCTATAAGAACACAAAACCACGTTTTTAGAAACGTGTTTCCTAAAAGCGAAATTTTGTTGTCCATAGCAATAACATTTTAAGTGAGTACATTTCCTCTCATACCTGATGCTTACTTTAATATCTTTAAACGTAGAATATTCCCTTCAAAAGCGCACAATGTGCTCCAACGCTTCTCACCACCTCGTCACCGCAGGCTTTCTTCACAGTTTCAGTTCCTTGTGTATGCCCTTAGCCTACACCCCCCTCCCCAATTTTTTAAAAATATTCCTCCGCCCTTCGCCTCAATTAAAGGGATCTAGTACGAAACCAACACAAGGTTGATGTCAGCAGATGCACACGATATTTTTGAAGAACTCAAACCCCTTCAATCAGATCTATATGCAATATTATGACAATAAAGACGCTATATCACGCGGACAAGAGAGAAGTAAAAGCCTTATTCCTCGGAAAAAACAACAGGGGAATGCAGATATAGATGCGTTTATATTTCGACAACATGCTTTTATCGAAACGAATAGCAGCAGTAGTTAAGTTTCGATAAGGGCATGTTGCTGAAAAATCAACGCATCTATATCTTGATTCTCCTGTTTTTCTTCTCTGAGGAGTAACATTACTACCACTGTTTTATCCATGTGAATAGAGTTGCTTGCAAATGCACTGAACAACTTCGTTATATCAACGGCGTCAAGCCAACAGTTTACTAAATCTGCGGTGCATGAGACAGTGTGCGAAGCCTACCCCGGCCATACTCACCCTCTTATCTCAAAGCCGCTATCCCTCTCAGCAGCTGGCCTGGGACATCAGCATTGATATAGTATAGTTTGTAGCATATTTATGTTACCTGCTATCCTGATTGAAGCTTTTATGTTTGGCGGCATTTTGTGGTCCAATGTGTCCACATATCGACACGGCAATGCCTCGACATGTGCTCTGCACAACCCCACGCTGCAAGCAGCAGCCAATACATACCAATACTTTGCAACGAACGCTTTAGTTTCATTTTACTGGGATGGTTTGTTGCAATTTGTCTCCATTTTTGCAACTGTGTCAATAAATAGCTCCCAAAAGTGTTCATTTTTGTCGTCGATCATATCCTGCAAATCGGTAGCTCCTTCACCACTGACTTCACCACACAGACCACGGACCAGTTCAGAAAACTGGCAGTATGCTGCAGCCTGAGTGTGATGGCACCATGGCAAGCACTGAACACTTTTATTTACCGGGCGTTTGCCGGCTGTTTCACATAGGCAACAAGAAGCATGTTCGCTGATTCGTTTGTCAACTGCATGCGAACAAGCTTCGGCTGCGGCAGGTGCAGCAGCAGCTGCAGCAGCAGCAAGGATCTCAATGGCGTGACAGCTGAACCGAATGCGTTCACGGAACTGATCCACAAAGTGGCTACTGGAACAGTGCATGAGCTGCCCGTCGTCCAGCGCAGTCCTACCAGTGGCGACGTGACCGAGATGACGTCAGCTGCACCTGGAGACCGCAGCTCTAACCTCCTCTGACCTGACATCTGATTTCTCATGATCTTGCTGCCAGCGGGACGGGCTCGTCCGACGTAGCGAGCCCCAAAGTCGGGTCGCTAAACCACGCAAAGTAAGGTAATGTCCTCGCTCATGGCTTACACGCTGTTCTCTCTCATGTGACCTTGATTTACACTTTCCGTTCGCTTTAAAGGGGATGCTCTACGTTTGAAGATATTAAAGTAAATATCAGCTAGAATGGAATGAGCTTTCTTATAGCTACTGGTGTGATTTTAAGTGGAAAAGGCTACTTTAAACAACACAACTTTTCTGTTCAGCAAATCTAATTCTCAATGTTTGATTATGCCATCATATCTTGTACCACATTGATTAACCGCCGGTTGACGGCCGTTTTATCTCGAAATAGTGCTCACGAATGTCAGATATCAACGAATCGATAATTATATTGGCTTTGGTTTCAATCGTCGCATTGTCAATAGAGTAACAGGATTGTAATAACGTTATTTAGCGAATACCGTCATGAATGACTGGGTGACTTTGAACTAGTCTCGAAAACGAATGCAAATCTTCGCGGGCGTTTAGCTCAGAAGCTAGAAGGATTTATTTCTTAAGAAGGGCAGTGCTGTGAACTGCACCGAATGATGTTTAAGGTATTTTTTCAGTTCGAAACTCCATACAAATGTGGAACACTCGCTTGACGTGATGCTACGATTTCAGCAAATCACAATTTCAGCACATCAGACATGCACTCAGTATCGCGCTGTCGCTGCCCCTTCGGTCTAATGTTGTGGATCATGGCAGGTCGGTGGCGACTTTGTTCCGCTCTACTAGCAAAACAGCCTGAATGAGCGTGAGAACTACGCCGCCCGGTGGGCTAGATTCTGACCTTTCGCACGTTCCTTCGAAAGGAGCCGCTGCACGATCGTGTCGTAGGCCGTCTCCTTGGCAACCCCCGAATCTTTCTTCAGCTTCTCTTTTACAGCGATGCAGATGTTGTTTTCAGCCAGTAGACCCTCCAGAGCTTCAAACGCCTGTTGTAAAAAACACGACATAAATGATGTGGCGTGTGAAGCGATTGTGCGGGAGTGGGTGCAAACAACTCGGACATCGATAACTTGGCCAAACACGAACAGGCTGATGTCATCACTACCACTGCTTGCGTTTGCAGCAAGAGGTGGCTTCGTTAACAGATAAGAAATAACACTAGTTTTCGCTCATGAATGTTCCAATAACGGAACAATAGTGGTGGCGTGAAAGCAATCAAGAGTTTCTAGGGCTTTCGAGCAGAGTGACTTTCAATGTTCTGCGGAAACGTTTTAGGGAAAGAAGGAAGAAGAAAAGAGCGAGGCGCTTGTACCGATGAAATACCCAAGTTTGTTCTCAAGCATCTCAGCAGCCTGGCGGTTTACGTAGGTAGCGGCTGATGTAGAAGAGCCTTGTGAATGTCCTGCGTGCCAGTGCCACCTTCCCAGTGGGTAAAAATCCATCTTCAGGTGCCAGTGACACCTTCGTGGGCACAAATCCATCCTCTAAACTGTCGGATAGGGATTCGCAAGTGGTCTTACATAACAAGTCTGGTGCGGCTCTTCTTCTGGTTAGATTGATCCACATTACCGCGCTGTATCTGCAGGTTCAAGTGGTTTGATTTGTTGGTTTTGATTTGTTTTTTGTTGGTTTGTTCGGATAATCAATGCTAAGCTCATATTGCTTTAGAAACCGCTGATCCTCAGGGCTTCTCCACTATAGGTTCAGCTGTCGAACCCGCGAACCCGCGCACAATGCGCTGCTACAATATGCTATTAGAACAGTGCTTGCACTCAAGATCTGAGAAGTCAACAATTGCTAAAAGATGGCCAGATGATGCGTGCGGACGAGCAAGGGGTGCATCATTCAGAAGGCAAACCTCAAATATCATTGCGCTGTCTGGTTGAGGTAGGCGAAGGATGCTCCGGGAAATTTCAAATACGCTTGGTGAGACAAAGGTTCGCACATGGTATGAAAAGTCACTCTTTAGAAGCTTAATAATACTCTCAAACTTACTTTTGTTCATCGTCGACAACTTTTCTGTCCCGGCGCAGCGTTTGTCATTCTGATTGTAATGCTTGTTTATTCCGTTTAGTTTTGTTATGTTGCGTTTCCATAATGATTGCAACATCTCCCCTAAGCATGTGCAGCAGGAAGCCAAGTTAAATCGGCCCCCTAAAGCTGGCACAAATACAGTTCATGTTGGTGATGAGAAAATGCATACTATTGGGAGCATTGAACTTGATTGCTTTGTTGTTTCTGCAATTGTCCGTGTAGTTACAGCCTTACTTCTTCTAATCTTGGCGACCGACTGACTGACTGAAAATCTGCTATGATGCATGTTGTTTGCCTTGAAAAAGTGTGCAGAATGCCGCGATCGTCCAGGCGCTCAGAGACAGAAGCTTTTTTAATCGACCGCTTTTAATTGAGCTTCGTTATGAGCCCGGCTTGTATGGATATATTTCTAAACATTCATCTGGGACACAGACCAGACATTCTGGTTTTCATTTTTATGACCCTAAATACCCAATTGAAATATAGGTTGACGGGAAAGGAAAATCCATGCTTGGATTAAATGGACCAGCATCAAACAAATAACTATGTTTTACATTTCAGAGTTTCTGATTGAGCCACAGCTGGTAATTTCGAATACGGGTAAAAATCAATATCTTGTGCTGCTTTTCAGAACTCTGGTAAAAGATGCACGTGCATGCTCTTCAGCTGCTCCTTTAATAGCAAATAAAGTTACAGCGCTGACAGGTCCTGGACATATGGGTTTGCGCAAAATTTGTACATCATGGCTTCCTTGCCGCCCATGCAAAACCAAAGGGCACCGCACGTATCTCAAAAATGGGAAGTGGAGACATCTGCCCCCCCCCCCCCCCCTCTGCTGTCCATGTGACTTATAGCAGGTAGGCATTTGAATATATCGTAGGATTATTTCAAAACAAATGCGTATCTCACTTCAGTTCAGATGTAACATGCGTTTTCTCTCTTGATCATCGCATCAGAATAATTAGCCCGAAATTGAAATGCATGCACCTGTTGGCTGAATACCTGGATTCTAAAGCGGTCCATGGAGCAGATAGAACAAGGCTAGAAACATGGCGATCCCAGGGGCATACAACCTCGGTGCATCCATATTGCATATGCTGGTAAACGCGTGTGCATCTAGGACATTTCGTCAGGTCTACATTCTTTTGTAAAGCTTATGCGTAGTAATGTATCCAGAAGTACATTCATGTCGCTAAATGCATCATGTAAAAACGTGGAACGTTGGTAACAATGGCATATTATAACTTCTATCTCCCAATTCACCGTCCTCAATTATATTTTTATTTCTATATCGTGTGATTTTGAACTGTCCCGCGTGATCATTTTCAATTCCGTTGCTTCAGTACCTTCAAATGTGTGTTTACACTAGATGCAGGTGCTTATCCTTGATTGTGTTAACCCTGAATGTAAGTGCTTAGCATAGATGTTTACCTTATGGTTACCTTATCTTGTGCTCGTAGCAGTAATTATCCTAGATTAAGTGTTTATCCTAGCAGAAAATAATCGGATCTCGGAAGGAGGTCACAAATCTCCGTTGATATGCCTGCGAAAAACCGCCGTGTTGAGAGGATATAATATCCCGTGTAACCTGACATTGATATTTGGCCCTTCGGGATTCCACCCAATCTCAAGAGCGTGTTTCCCTTTCTATCAGTTCGGCGTCGGCATCGCCGCGGTGCCGGCACGGATTTGCCCGGCCGGCCCAGCACAAACAACGCAGAAGTCCTTGTCTCGGCTATCCCGCCGCAACCGGCCGGCGACACCAAGATTCCTGATGTTCAAGTTTGCACGCTAGTGTTGCTCTGTGTGGCGGCTATAGTTATCAGCTGAAGACAATAATCGGGGATACCGCTGTCAAACTAGATTTTCTATCGTTGCGAAAAATCATTTTTAGATCAGCGACGGCTCTCATTCGTCTTGACTGGTCGAATCGGGACAGTGCAGATGGGTCCAGATCATAATTGCCTGTTACCACTTTCCGACGTCGGAGGGATAATACTAACGGGAGTGGCGCGATTCAGCAATATTCTGAAGGGAAAGAGGACTTAATGTGGGTCAAAAATATATTTCCAGACAAAGATATCTGATATTTTCCAATGTAGATGCTTTCAGTAAGCATTCGCTCAAAGCTGATCAGCTGTAGTATTTGTACTCTCTTTGTGTCATGCTAAGTCAATGTAATCGCATGCTACTGGGCCGTTAGGTTAAAACGTAAAGCACAAATGATTGCAAAGGTTGGGAAACAACTCTTGGTTAAGGGTAAGACCACAGCTGTTCTTCTGCTTTCGAAAGAGATGGGAACCAGCAGAGGTAACCATGCGAACGTGACCTGTCAAACACGTCTCGGGCGTCAGCTCGGTGTCCATAAGTTCAGACCGAAGACATCGCGACTAGGTTCAGGAAATCAGACTACCATTCATACGTATGTTGACCCTGCGAGAGATAAGGGTGTTAAATTGCCTTTTCGCGGTCGGTGTGTGATGGAACTGCTACCAAAACATTGACAGGATAACAGATAATCACTTCCCACGGCCCGTCTGGTCAGTATCGAGCACTCTGGGAATTGTGTGGATGCCAAACGGCAGGCGAGATGGACGGCCGTGGCGTACGGGCCACCGACCCCGGCACGACCTGGGCCGAGCCGGCACCGCCCGCGCAGAGAGCGCTTGGCAGCCCAAAGCAGCGTGTTGCATGGATTGGATTGAACCGTCGACAAAAGATGACTTTTGGGGCGGATTAGATTGAACCGTCAATAGAAGATGACTTTGTGGGGCGGATTGGATTGAACTGTCAATAGAAGACGACTTTGTGGGGCGGATTGGACGGTGCCAGACGGTCTGGGCTGCACACGGATGAGGACGGCACCCGATTTTAGGTATTATCAGTCCATACGGATTGAACAGATTCAAAGTAGCTTTTATCCTACAACGATGTTGGGTTTCTGTTATGGGTAGTGGAAAGATTTCACGACTTATAAATGAAAAGATGTTGTTTGGTGTAATATTTCACGAAGGCGACTACTAATGAATAATGAGAGCAGCAGTCTGCTTAGTGTCAAGTAGGTAGTATTCAGTCATTCACATCATGGATGCACATTTCCCTGCTGTTGAAAAAACAAACAATGCATGCTTAGATGTATGCCAGTGTTTTGTTTTTGGTACTCTTTTATTAAGTGTTTGTCTTCAGTGGGGGGGGGGGGGGGGCAGGGGAAGTCCAGCACCGCCTTAAGTGGAAAGTAGACAAAATATGGGAAAATGACAGCTTTGGGGATAACTTTCGTTATTTTCACTGTTCAGCTACATCCAACTCATTTTATCAAATTGCGCACAATTGAAGATGGAGCTTCTCATTACCCTACAAAACAGTAAATTACGGATATGGGACAGATAACTCACTTTTCACAACATGCAACCACTTCCGTGGATCACGATCAGGATTAGAGCCATAAATGTCCGGGTATTATGATTGTGTCAAATGCTAAGGGTGGCGTTAATAATAACATTTTATAAGGAAGATCTCTTAAGAACGGTTAACAATGGCATCGGAAGAACATGGACATATCAAAAGCTTTCCACGTCGAAATGTTTCTAAAGCTTGATAGAGAAACTGGAGTCTTTACAATGGCGCATCGCTCTTGCAACTTGCAGCATAATCGGGTATCCCCTGAAACAATTGTAGGCGTTCAAATGCCTTCTGAGGTTTAACTCTGTGACCTGGCCTCAGCCAGTGACCGCCGCTGATTTTAGGTCGCAATTTTGACGGAAGCCATTCAGTCTTCATTCAATCACTTAATCATCAATTATTCGTCCCGGGTGCATTGCTTCCACGGCGTTTGTCAGCCAAGGCCACGCGCCGGGGCACAGTCCTGACTGAATTGCGAGCTGCAGGCGAGGAAGTGGCGGGTCAGGTAGGGACGTCCTGGAATGTCGCTGTCCGATCAGCCGGCCCGGAGACGGGCGGCGAAGGCAGTCCCGTCTCTGCAGCGCCTGCAGTGACCGGGCCGGCGGCTGGCCGCAGCACCGTCATCGATCAGATGGCGAACCGTGCCGACTCCATCGGAGGTCACGAGAGGCGGGCCGCGCGGCAGCGCCGGCCTCCGAGCCGAGCCGAGCCGGCCGCCGGCCTGGCCCCGGGCCGACCTCCGTGCAGGACAAGATCGCCGTCACCTGACGGGCACACTGCAGCTTGGCGCTACAGCGCCAGTGCGCTGGCACCTGGCCTCCCCCACAAAAGTCGGCAACGTCGAGACTCAGTCTCTGTTCGTACATTCGTTTGTGATGAGCATTTTATCGATGTGCAAGTCAATTCTGTGCATTCTGACTCCGTCATCCATTAAAACGCTGCCCGGATAGGGCTGAAAAGCCCATCCGGTCAATCAGAGGCCTTTCTCGAAATGTGTTATTAACCGGGATACCATTCTGTTTAATCCAACCAAAACATTCTTTAAAATCTTTACAACCAAAACTCAACGTCTTCTCTTTCAGGTCATCAAAATATGGCCTCGTCACCACAGATTTGCAGGAGACGTAAGCATTTTACTCCGTTGATTGCTCATCACTCTCCCTGAAGACTTGTGCTTAAGTATGCACCTACCGCTCTGACGTTCATGCAACCAGGTCGCCCGAATCGCGTCGTAAAGTAGCCAACAAGAAACAATCTACCTTTTAGACTCCTGCATGATTGTCAAATCCAGATATGTATTGACATTCCGCAAGGGCGAGCTTGCTGTGCATTCGAACATAATTCGATTTTATATGCGCCCGCACCGCTTTCCCAGTCTGACATAACTTATTCATTGAATGTAACAATAACATTCATGCAATCTTGTTCGACCTGGGCTAGATGCTGGGCTACTTGCTGCTTACTGTTTCCAATAGTCAGGGACGCAAAATAAGTTGAGAGAGGAGGGGTGGAGGCCTGAGCAATGGAAAAATGACGTAAACCACCTCCTGACTATGCCAACAAACAGGTTTCTACCCGATTTGGCCCGCTTTCCTCTTAAGGTTGGGAAGCCAGAGTTGGAAGATAGCCCCATAACGGAACAAAAAAACGACATCCCTGGTTATCAATTGGTTACACCTCATACCCTCCATCGAGAGGCATTGTAACGTCTGCACGACTCGCAGCAAGGCGCCGGGAGCATCCAGCGCCGTGCCCGCCTGTGATAGTTGCCACTGGTGTTACCACGCCTCTGAGGTGGAGGGACAGGGCCGGATGGTCGGGACAAAGTTGATCTGGGGGAAGCGGGACATGGCAATGGTACTTCAAATGGAAAAGGTCCCCCTACAAAAAGGAAGGGGCATTATCATCAACGTTACGGGACAAGTTTTACTTGGATCCATACAGCTACAATCGTCCGATTTAGAAACTTTGAAGAGCAGAAAGAAACAGCCCCCTAAGTTTTGCAAATTCAACGCGAACTATCGTCGATCTACCATATGTGACGAAGTTCATTTGACGGGGGCCGAAAGACAGCGTGTTTCCGCGGCGCGTGTGAGCCCCAGCCTCTCCACATATGCTGAAACACTAAATGAATTACCTGGCCCAGATCTAGGGAATTCTGACCCTGCATGACCTCCTGATCACAGGGATTAGGAAAATTGCACGGGTTACCAAGCCATACCACATGCCATCACGCTCCTATAGTAAAACATTCCTGTCGTCACGGTAAACTGCTCCGATACGTCCCTCTGAAATAATTTGCGTGTGGAAGGAGTTTGTAAAGTTTGGCGTCTCCAAATGGCAGAAGCATGTTGTTTGGTCCCCGAGGATGCGAAATATCTGTGGGGATTCTCCCAACATATAAGGCAGCTCAGGAAGCCACAGCATTGTCCGTAGTTTCCGAGGTACGGTATACTGTTGAAGCTGACTAGATATTTGCAGGTAGATTCCATTGTTCTCCGGGTAAAAATCCTCTGCCACACATGGGGCAGAGTTCCTTCGGATTGCTTAACAAATTCTATGTTGGGACGAAGTCCGTGAGATCCCTGACAATAACGCTAAGTTCGTCTCGCATTAATCGGTGCATACGTCTCCTGGAGAAATGCGGTGGCGTTCCCTTTGCTGGCCCATCAGTCAACAACGTCCCGGACGGTGGGGAAAGCCCTTGGAGGACATTGGTCTGGCCTTTGTGACGTTCGACAACAACCCGGTGCACCCAAGGTATGAGCCGACAGGCCACAGACCAGCGCTGCATGGTACCCAATGGAGACCTCGGTAGTGGCACAATGAGGGACACAACCGCCCTTATCTACCATACGTTGAACGACATTGCGGAACAGGTTGGATCAGCCCACGCGCGTCCGTGCTGACACCACAGCGGGGGTGGGGGCTTTATATTATCGCCTTCATAAGCGTAACGCCGCGGCGCCGCCGGCCGCCGAAGAGCGGCAGGCGCCCTCTAACGCGACGGCATCAGCGTATGCCATTGGTGCTTTACGACGCACTTAACTACTGAGGCTATATGACGTTGCCTGCCTCTCATCCTGGCTGGAAGGGCGGACACCGTGCGGATAAAATCCCGCACCTCTGGCTTTCCAGACACGCAGCTTAACCGAGGGCATCAGATTAGGCACCCGGTCTCGAACGTAACGACAGCCTACATCGCCTATCACTCGCACGCAGTCATCGATTCTGCTCCCATATCCATCGATCTGGAAAAGATTGCGTTCCCCGACAGGGCGTGGCCAATGCAGCCAAACTTCGCGCGAACACCGGCCATTCCGGTGAAGACTGGCCCACCGGAGCTGACCTCACAGTGTCATTTCGCTGCTGACAACCAGCAACCAGTGCTCCTATTACACACGGGCTGAAATCACAGATGTAGCAGCTTTTTTTGTACGCGGCCATTTGTCATACAGCCCGCCGCAGAATCCACCTCCATACATGGAACATCCACCAACTTTTGCTTCCTCCAACGACACCCGTTGCTACTGTGTTCGACATAGTGGTACACTGCTAGCTCCTCATCTTCGCGCAGGCCGATATTGACATGTTCCGCTTCTGACCTTGATGCCGTAGTTGGATTCCTCGTAGATGATGGAGACGTAAGTCCAGCCGAGTCGCTTCACGATCTCCACCATCGCCTTCACTTGGAACTCATCTGACGGGATGGTGCGCGAGAAGTACTCGAAGCGCTGCTTGCTGCTCAGCTCAGGTGACGTTGAGAAGAACGACAC